TGACTGGGTAAACTCATTGATTACATATTACTGTAACTATTTCACATAAAACACCACACAGTGCTGACCACCATGAGATTTGAGTCAAAACTTTAAGTGGTTTTCAAATCTAGTCAAGCTATAACTCAAATTTGAAAGTCTGTATAGAAACAAACATAAAAGCATTGGAGAGTGAGGCAGAAGGGATGCAGAACAATAAAATAAAAAAGTCCTGTGTGGCTATATTTAGTTCTTGAATCACATGGGGGCTGCTGGACCGATGGCAACAACACAAAACGCTAATAAGCCAAGTTAGGGGAAAAGTAATGGCAGAACAGATGTAAGCCGACACATAGCTGAGAAAGGAGGAGGCGAAGAAGCAATGAAACAATAAAAATGCTAATAAAAGGCATTAAAAAACAGGATACCAATTGATAGCTTGAGGGGAAGAGAGGCCAACAAGGTGCAAACTCAACGCTCCATACGATTTTTGGGGTTGTTTGTGAGTGGAAGGTTTTTGGCAAAGAAACAAAATCAATAGTGCTTTTTCTTTTCTGTGTTAATGCTGTTTCTGAAAGGTGAGGCATTGAATGAGTCAAAGAAGTGTTGGGAGAGAAAAGAGAGAGAGGAGTTATTGAATTGTTTACAAAGATGCCACCACTGTTGGCTATTAAGCATGGAGAAGATTACTGCACGCTGGAATTTGCATAAACATGCTTCTCCATTACCGCTCCTGTTGTTTCTGATTAATGAGATTACCAAACACATATTCAGGGATGTAATAGCATCTTAATTGCTTGTCTCATCCTCAAAATTAGAAGTTGCTTTGTTTGATTTTGTGTTAACCTAACTAATATTACAGAGCTGTTATTACTTTGCTGCTATATAATGCACAATACAATCGAGAGCATATAAGACAGTTAGAGATAGACTTATAGCTGCTAGAGAATTGGGACAGTTTGCCAGTGTACAGGGCAACAGTGGGTCTGAATGTGCGGTGGTTGAGAACAAAAAAATATAGGAATTTAGAGTGGAAGCAAATATGGATTGAAAGGAGATTTAGTCGGACTAAGAAGATACAAATTACATAAATTGAGGATGAGAGACAGAGCAAAAGAATAAGCAGGGCTACAAGAGAAAGAGGGATCTGAGTGGGGGAGGAAGTAGGGAAAGAAAAATGGGCTATAGACACAAAAAAGAGGAGATTGCTTTGAACGTTGTAGATCAGTCAGAATTGAATCACAGGCGACCAGCTGTAAACCCTGATAGAGCCAAGCCTCTAAATATAACTGGGTCTGAGATGGACTGATACGGCCACAACAACAGACAGACGTAGAATAAAAGGGAGGCATCTTGAAAGAGGAGAGGAAGAAAAAGACACACGGCGAAATGGGTGTGCACTCAAAAGGGCTTTTACAGTCTGGATATTTATACAGTGAAAATGAACCGGATCAAAGTACAGGGAATACATATAAAAGGCCTGGAACAGCTGTTTAATGTGCTTTCAATATTTCAATATTGCTATAAATGCTTAATATTTTGAAGGGTTTTCCTAATATCCAATAATCAGATCATAATTTTGCAATCCATAACAAAGTCCCACAAGGATGTCTCTAAAAGTTTTGGATCCTAAAATTAAACTGTGCTCAAATGTACCATTGTTGGGAAGATTATACTTAAAGGTGCCCTGTGTAACTTTTCGGGTGAGGGTCTGCCACCTGCACAGTAATATCTCCATGGAGATATTACTGTTTTGCATTGATTATTGCACAGTATGGAAATAAACTTTGTAATCTCAATGGAGACAGGTTAATGGTCAGATGTATGGGAAGCAAGCCTGCACATGGTAAGAATTCATGTTTTTAAGGTACTTTTGAGCTATAAAACACATTTAATTGAATACAAGGGAGATATGTTTAATGTCCTACTGTGGAACATTCCAGGCAAAGAAATAACATGGAGAACAGCAAGTAGCAGACCCTCCACCTTAGAAGTTACATAGTGCACTATTAAAGTATCTGTTGTTTTTTTATTATTGATATATTTTTGTGTATGTTAATGACCTGATGTTCAGCTTTCAGTCTCACAAGTATACTCTCACTCATACATGTGCTCAGAACTGGAGTTTGATGAACTGTCTTGCCCAAGAACACAACAGTATGTACAGGTGAGGTTGAACCTGCAAACTTTCATAATTCTCATTTTACTTATTCAGTTTACAAAGACAAGTGAATTTCCTCTGGATTCGAGAGTGTTGGAACTGGCTGTACAGGTAAACATTTTCCATATCATGAAAACATCAATTACATATTATTTTGTTAACAATTCAAAATTCACAGCTATAATTTGAAGTTGATGTTTTAAAAGCAGAAAAAAAAACAACTATTGGCTGGTTACATGTTGTTCTTGATTGCCGTGCATTGGTTGGTCATTACTCAAGTGCTCATGTAGAACAATAAAGGCCTTGCAGCACTTCAGACCATCTGGCCAGTTGCTGCAGCTGGAGAGCCTACGAATAGAACCTGTATCTGGGCATGAGCAACAAGTTTAGCCCTGGAGGTGTGGAAGCTGACTCCAGACTTGAGCCCAGGGTACTTATGGTGTCATTGGTACAGTGACAAATTGACAACATCCCCTGTGGCTGAAATCAAAGACCCAAAACACACACACGCCAAGTCTTCGTCCTATATATCCTCTTTCTATTGTGGCCTTTTCCGGCAAGCTCCCCTCAAGACACCCAGCTGATGACAACTGACTACACCTGTCAATTTCCAGGCTCTCTTCCACTGACAGACTTTTGAATGAAGGAGGCCCCCTGTAGAGCGCTGATAGCTCACACACACATACATGCACACACAGACACACACACACGCACACAATAGACTCACTGTGTTTCTCATTGGCTTAATGCATCCTCAGGCCATTTAACCTAACCTTAACCATGACATGTAAAGAGGTGACCCCTGCCCTGACCTGAATACAGACCCTACACCTAAAACCCAAATGACAGCATTTGGTCAGTGGAAGTTTACATTACACAACATCAACAGCAGTGCCCTTAATCCTACACATTCAAACATTTATTGAAAAAGGGATTGTTACACAGTGGACCATGTTTTTTTCATTGGAATGTGGCTACCTAGCTACCCTTTCATCCAAAACTGCACAAAATATTGCAGAAAAAATAAAAATTCATGTCAAGCCTTTGTTTAGAGTAGACAAATTCAGAATAGAAGTGTAAATGAATAGGATCCAGATTACTGTTTCAGTTAATGTTTTAGTAGTACATTAGCATTCTGAAATGTAGCCTGAACAGACTTAAATTACATCCCTTATATGTGAGATAAAATGGGAAATACATTTTCAGTGATACTCCTGAAAATCTTTGTGTTTGAATTTGATGTGCAAATATGTATTGTAAATCAATGTAAAATTTAAAAGATCTCAACAGCATGTTTTAATTCCATATTAAATACTTACAAACACATTGTTAATAATTAATTATTTTTATCATTTATCATTGTTTTATTACATCTTAATACTGGTCAGTTATTCTAAAAGAGCTTTACCCAAAATATAGTTGAATCTTGAGGCTGTCTGATGCTCTGACAGCTCTGACAGGTCATGCATATTTCTTCTTGAAGCACAAATTTCCTCCACACTTAACGGTTTTCTCTCGATTCTGGCCTATATCTAAGACTCACAGCTGACATCATTAACAACCAGCATGGAAACTTAATTAACAGTGAGCCCATTAACTTATGTAAACATGGCAGCAGCAGGGGCAGAGTGTGTCATGTACTGTGTGTGTTAATAATGAAGGTAGCTGATCCCCAGAGAGCGTAATGGGAGTCCTATACTGGTCAAGCCTATATAGGCTGAGAAACCTGGGCTTTTGTTTTTCTATAGGTTGGTGCAATCTGGTGATAGTGGAGAACCATTTCTCACATAAGATTTTACCCTAACCACAACTATATGACAGGCCCAATATATTAAAAAGACAACACAACAAAAAGCTACAGTAGTTTTTGCTTAGGTCTTTGATGTACAGACATCAGGTACTTTAGTAATGTTGCCTACTTGGCTTAATAGTGATGTTTCTTTGCAGTAAAATTAATTCAGTGTCCTTAAAGTGCAAAAAGCAAAAATTGGTTTGGATTCATTCTATTGTGTTGCTCTATTTCAGTGCTGAAGATGGAAGATAACATTTTGAATAAGTCACCTATTCAGTCAGCAATAAAGCACACTTAACAATAGGCCTATATAACTTTTAAAAAAAAAAGTTTAAATACATTTCAAAACCCGTTTCTAATATTGTCTTGATTTTGGCTGAATATTGTGTAAAAAATATTGTTGTATGTAAATAGTTTTCCTAAGAACCTTTTTTCAGGTTCAGACTCGGGGACTTTATTGTGGGAATCGCACTACAACTACATATGATCTAGACTAGGCTTGTATGTCTACACGACTATACTGTAAGCCTAAAGGTAATGGACATTTAGTAAAGAGCAAATGTGAGTCGGTTTTCAGTTCGCCTGCAGCATGTTCACGGTGGACCTTTCCCTCTGAACCAATGCACCTGAGCACGCTCGTCTCTGCTCCGCTCCCGGTGCTTTGTGCTGATCACGAGCGATGCATTCCTCAGCGGACCCCCAAAGATGCAGAGCACAGCAGGACAGGCGATTATTATAGGATCCATTTGCGGCTTTCCTCTCCTTTCAGTTATTTGAGCTATACATTGAATAGAGAGCAGGCGAAACATGATTGATGATTTCTTTATGTAAAAATCGACAAATTAATCTGGATGAAAGCGAAGACAGTTGCCTAGGCTACTGAATTGACGCTGGGAATGTCTGCCACCTAGTGGTTTAAACTCGAATTTATAAAATCAATATATTGTAAATGAATATAGAATAGATACAACAGCTTAATACACTACACAGAAAGATATTTGTTGAAATTGTATTTTTACTATAAATGATACAAAAATATTTAAATAGTTTTGCATTTTCACACTGGTTCTCAAACTTTTCAAACATACCATAAAAAAGGTTTCAGAAGAAGTGCTTCCTGGACCTCAAGGAGATCACACATACCATTTAAGAAAAGATTTGGCCTTCTGAGTACCAGATCTACCCTACAATTCTAGGTCTAAACAAGACAAATGGAATAAATCGACTGCAGAGGAATCCATGCACCACCTGAAGGAGCTACTACTGTTTGAGATAGTGCAACATACAACTCAAATTACAAAATTACAAGTTTTGACACAGCATATTCACACAGCAACAACAGTTCATTTTCTGTAATGAAAAATGACATAACCCACACATTTCAATTAGTAGATATAAAGATTTATTCTCTTAATAATTAAGGACTTGATGTGAAATAGCTGTTGATAGAAAAATAAGTTTGCTGCAACATTTTTGCTCTAAACCCAAACATACATAATTAGCATAATATGAGTTATACTTCTATAAAACAATATATGAGTATGCATAATATCTACAGCAATAAAAACTTTATACAAAAGACATAATTTAAGAGGTACATTAAACTACACTATTGGCAGATAGTCTTTTTGTATCTACACTTTACAGAAAATAGCAATGATAATTTCTTTTCTTAAATATGATAGCGTGCAAATTCAAAATACAACTCACTGTTTTGAGAGCTAAGAGCAAAAAGGAATTGATGTCTTTGGAGTTTTGTTTTTTAATCACATATTTGGCTTGAAATGTGTAAATCATGTATGATGACACACCTTTGCTCTTCTTCACATTATGAAGCCAAGTCCTATTATTTTTCACAGGTTGAAAATACCAAACCAGTCTCTTGAACACAGTGTAAACTTGCAGCAGTAGACATCACTCTAATAGTTTGAGATTTAAATGCACAAAGACATCTTCAAAAATGTTCTTGGCCTCATTATTATGATATAGTAATTTGTCTGTATTTAGTGCAGCAGTCTTGGTGTATCCAACAAAGAGGTATAATCCAAAAGAGGAGTCATCTCTCATATAAAACCATTTCTTGATTCAGGGATCTTGCGAGATATTTTGATTGACATCTTAAAACTCTGCAGTCCATCCACAATTATTGGCTAAAGGTGGACCATGTAAGTTTACTTTAGGTTATTGGTTGTCCTTGGTACTCGCAGTACTAGGTAAGTCCCAGCTGTATGAAGGTGTCTCTGTTGTTCTTCATTGAGGTTAGAAAAAATACCCCGGAGAGCTGCAGCTATAGATGGCTGTGAATGAAGGACGAGGCAAAATGCAGGACACAGCAAACACAAAAAAAGGATGAACAACATATAAAAATAGTATAAAAAGTGAACTGGCAAAACTTACCACAAAGGGCTTAAAGTTTCATAGGTCTTTTTGGATGTGCATTGTATGGACACAGTTAGAGCTAAGACCATTGGATCCCAATGTCTGTACACTGATTTTAATGGGAACACTCAGGTTTACATTCTCAAGTATACACTGTAAAATAAAACAACAACAACAACTAAATAGTTAGTTATTTTAAATAAGTAATATTAAATAATTAATATTGTGTTTATAGTTATAATCTATGATCATGGATCATTGGATGTTATAATTTGGACATTTGTAATACTGACCTAAAACTACTTAATAAAAGAAACAGATTGTCTGCCTTCCAAAATTTAGTCTGCAGTGTGATGCATCAATCAAGCTAAATACAATTTGAAGAGGGTGAATGAGAAGAGAAGAAGAAAAAAACTATGACATTGTTTAAAATCTCCAGAAATCCCATTTTGCATAATAGGTCTGCTTTAAAGGAGCCCACTGGTAAAAATAAAATCTAATTTAATGTACCTTAGTGCATGCTGAACTCATGATAGATTTGTGGAACACCCCGTCAACAAACACCTGATGAAAAAAACTGATTTAGTCTTTATCTTATGAACTTTTAAAAGCCCTCAAAATGGTGTCCATAACAATAAAAAGCAAAAAGCCAGCTCACCCTGTATCCATACACAAAGGTGCCATTGCTGCAGCCTAGTTCGTCCAGTGGGGGTCTTTCCCAGCTGATCATAAGGCCACTCACACCCACTGTTTTAATGACCTCAATGGATCGCACCTCAGCGGGAGCCTCTGCACAAAAAAACACAGTGTTTAAATTAATATGAAGTCTCACACATGGTTTAAAGTTAAATAGTGCAGGTTTGCTTCTCTCTAAATGAATAAACACAAGAGTACCCAGAACAATAAAAGCTTGTTAATGATTTTGTTATGGCCTAAATAAATGCATTTTCAGCATCCCCAAATTGTGTTTACTTGGTATATAATAATTTATGCATTAAAAAGTGATGCCAACTTGTCCATGTGTGGGCTGTGTTTTATTAGCTTAAATATATACACAAAACTATTTTCAATTTACTATGAAAATGAAGGACCCAATAAACAAAACAAACTACTTAATACTTTTTAGATTAGTGATTCTCAACTGGCCTCAGAATTATGAGACCATATTTAATACCAGTTATTTTTCTTATAACCATCATAAGTTGCATTTTAAGAACAATTTTTACTGTGTCCTAATGGAATTCAAGCAGCTTTTATGGTTTCACGCAATTAAAACTGCACTTATGTTTCACTTAAGCTTAACAATGAAATTCTATCACCCTCCTGTAAACCGTTTGTGTACCCACCAGTTGAAAACCTCTTATTTATAGTGTCCTATTTACATAGGAATTACCTTGTTTTATTCTGGTTGGAGTTCTGGCTTTCTCTGCACAGTTTGGTGACTTTTTGGCAGACATGGAGGTGGGCTGAGGAAATATAAGGCTGCCACCACCATCTACTTGAGTCCTATTAAAACTATTACTTTTGCTTGGGCCCACTGTATCAGAGGCAGTGCTTTCAGTAGTGTTTGGGAACACATTACAGTCTGTAGCTGTTGGACTGACATGTAAAAATGTGGTATCGTTTTCCATAGAAGAAGCTTTAAGTTCCTGAACAGCATGTTTAATAGCACCAGAACTTGCTGTTATCACTGCTTTGCTCTGTAATGCACTTGTAGTAGTAGAGACATTAGATGAAGCCCGAGACAGATTATATTTAGATTGCTTAAATGACTGGGCAACTGGACTGAAGGTAACAGTTGCAGATCTAGATATGACTGCATTAAAAAGCTTATTATTTGAGGGTACAGGTTTGGTGGTTTCTCCTGAAGTAGACTGGCTTGAGGAAGTTGTGATATTGGCTGTTGCATTATAAGCAGTTGGTTTCTTCATCTGTGAGGCTGTGGGGAAGGCCAGAGATTGTGCTGAGAATGACAGGCATTTTCTGGGCTGCTGTCCTTTCCCTCTGCCTGCTGGAGCCTAAAGGGACAGAAAATAAAATCAGTGAGTTTTCACATCAAATACAAATATTTTTCTGGTCTTTCAAGTGTCATCAGAAATGGGCTGAAAAAAGCATAACCCAGGACTAAAGAAGGTATGAACCATGTCTATAATATGGATAAACAGTAGGGCTGCAACAAAATATTATTTTAATAGCAGTCAGTGGTTATTTTGATTAGCTGACCAATCAAACGATTATTTCACTCAATGTCCCACATTCAGGCTACTGAAATTTGTCATAATTCTTTAAAACTGCATGGCAAAGCTTACTGTGTTTTTAGTGTGTTTTAGCATGTTTTACTCAAATAGAAATTACAACATAGAAGGCCAGAGCCAGAGCCTTTAAGTCTGGTTTATGTACTTAACAGCTCTGTGGTTTAAGAATGATAATGGTGTAGACTGACAGATGCGAGGCTGTCAATCTGTGCTATTGGCCCCACCAACAAGCAAACACACTTTCATAGTAGGCAATGTGGATGAATTGCCTTGCCTAAGGACACACCAACCAGGCCCTGCCTTGCTTGGCTTCTGAGGTCTTATGAGATCAGGCTTTGGAGGAGGCACAAACCTTAGAAAAAAACAAGCCTCAACCAGATCAAGAAGAGCCCCAACCCGTGTAGCTGTACCACAGTTTGAGAAATTTTACAATTCTTATAAATAGTTAAAACCTAGGGAGGTGTCTATACCTGAAAACTGCTGAGTAAGGTCTTCTGCAGTTGTTCCTGAAGGCTCATGATCTTTCCTGGACTACTCAGCCTTGTATTTGAACCAAAGCAGGTGAGTGAAGATGAAGAACCAGAGCTGGAACCAAACCCGCTGGACTCTGTTAACCGGGTCAGGTCTGGAGTGGACTTGGCTTTCACATTCAGTTGTTGAAATTCATTTGTCTTTAGCACAGAACCTCTGGGAGATCTTGGAGAAAGTTGATGCTGCAGAGAGAAAGAAAGAAAGGTAAATCCGATCTAAGATTAGATTAAATTAACATTTTAGCAATCTACGTACCTTTGTAAGGTTTGTGTTTCTTTTCTGTGATGCAGCAGGTGATGTGGATCCCAGGATTTCTTGATGTTCTTGCCTTGGTGAAGTTAAGTTTGATGAGATCTTTTCTTGCACTGGACTAGGGCAATGATTTTCTTTCCTTGTAAGGTTTGTTGGAGATAAAAGAAACTGTGACAGAAAAAAAAATAAACATTATACAAATATTTTCTTAATTTAAAAAACAAATGACATTGATACTTTGCAGTAACATCATGTTGGAGGTGTTCTACATGTATCTCTATTAGTGGAATGTTCATCAGTAACCACGGTGACAGAATCCACACATTAGCAAACACAGACACAGCTGCGAAGTATCAACTGTCAAATATTTTGGTCATTGTTTACCTGCGAGTTATGTTTGTGGGAGACAGTGGGTGACATAGACCCCATGACTTCTCTGTGTTCTGGCAGTGGGGAAATGGACCTTGAGGAGAAGGCCTTTACAGCTGGACTTGTTACATGGCTCATCTTACTAGTGCAGTCTATGGGCGAATTTGCAAAGGTACTCAAAGCAGGTGTTATAAGAGATGGACTTCTACCGCCCCCATAGATATTACTTTGAGAAGTGAATTCATTTATTTGTTGTTGTTTTGATGGTGAAGTTGAACCTGTTTGATCTTGAGTGAATCTTTTAGTGTCCTCGAATGTGACCGTTATTTCAGGGGTAAATCCAGTGGTGAATGTGGAGGCGTAACTTTGCAGGGCAGGGTCTGCAAGCAGCTGTTCCACTTGTTGTTTGAGGATGTAGTCAATGCAGCCGTGTTTCTGTAGGATCTTTGTCATCTGAACCAAAATGTTGTTCCTCTCCTGACATTTCACCACCATGCATGACAGCTTGGCCTTGAAAAAATTGAACACAGCGGGATAACATAAAAACTACTGACACTTACAGAAATAACATTAAAATAAACAAACAGTGAAGATCTTTAAGAACTTTAAGAAACAGAAAAATAACATTGGTTACTATTTTATTTATTTATTTATTTTATTCTTAATTTTGATGTGGCCAGTTTGGATGTCTGACAATACTAAAATTGGCTTGATACATGATACTGATTTGTTACCACAGTGATATGAAAAGGAATATACAAGACAATTTAGTTATTATCCAACAAAAAATAAGTAAAGTTTTTAAAATATGACCATGTGGTATCATTCTAGCTCCGATATAGAACAAGCCCATTTTGATAATATTCACAAAAAGGTCAAATTTTGTCCTATTTACATTGTTTATTTATATGTTGTTTCAAATATAAAGTATCTGATACATTTCAGATACACAAGTTAATATAATGCAGTGTTTTATTATTACCTTTAGAGGTGCAATATCCATATCAGCTTGACTTTTTTTATGAAGTAATGCGTCATACTGCAAACAAAAGCAAAAGTTAGTTTGTAAAAGTTACAAATCAGAAAAAAAGAAATCATGCAGTAATTAACAGAGCTCTACCTTGGCTCTGATATCACTGTAGCGGCTCTGCATGGAGACCAGAGCAGTGCTAAGATCCTCTCTGATGCCCTGACCATGTTTTAAACTGATGTACTCTGAGTTTAGCTCCTGAAGAGCCACAGTCTGCAGCAATCACACACATAAGCATACATATGTATTAAAGGCCCATTAAAATGTGAATGTGTGTGAGGATAATTTCTTCAATAATATACATTACTGAAATATCTGGATTAGTTTGTGTTTTGTTGCTCTTACTTTGGCTCTGAGTTGAGCAGAAAGTATGTTGTATTGCTCATCTATTTGGGTCTTTAGAGCCAGTACTTCATTCTTCTCTCTGGTCAAACCTGTTACTTTGTTCTGAAGATCCTTCACCTGCACAAATTATACATACAAATTACAGAAATGTTTTAGGATTTATCAAAATTAAAGAGGTAATTTTGCTGTATTCACCTGTGCCTTAAGATTTTCAGTTTCCTTCCTTGTTTCCTGGAGCTGATTGGATTCATCGGTGATTTTGAAAAGTCTGTCAGCCAACTGGGAGGCTCTCCTCTCAGCCTCATCCCTTTTGGTTTCAGATTGAAAGAGTTCACTCTGCAATCTTTGTCTCTGTGTAATAGAAAATGTGAAAAAGTAGAATTATTTTAGTGATTCATTTATACATTACAATTAAAATGTATTAATATTCTCAGTGCAATAGAAATGTTGACATAGTGTTCACACCTCTGCTTTTGTCTGGTCTAATTCATCCTGAGCTTTTTGGAGTTCTGTTGACAATGTTTGTATCTGCATTGCTAAATCATTTTGATCCTGTTTGGTGAAAAACAAACAAAATACATCACAAATGATAAATTGATGATCCATGATTGATCCATGATTGATACCTTTAAGTTATTCTTATATCCATATTGCTCTTCATACTCATTGGCTGCATATGTTGGGTCCATTTCACTAGCTTTCGTTTGCCCTTGAGATGTAGCTTGTAGTCTGCTATGCTCCTCTTGTAGTTGTTGTATTAAAATTCCCATTTGATTTTCCTCTTGTTTTAAACGTGACACTGAAAAGGTCATTCTCCTCTCCTCCTCTTTCAAACTTGAAACAGATTTTTGTAGCTTGGCACATTCCTCTTCCAAGTTATTAAATAGATGTTCCTTATCTTTTGTTTCTTTTAAACTTTTCAGGTGACTTGAGAGTTCATCTTTTTCCTGTTTTAATTTGAGCAATGCTTGGTTTAATTGTAGACTTTCTTTTTGTAAATTTTGTATTGATTGCACGATTTGATCTCTTTCTTTGATCCCACTTGAGATGGTTTCCAAAATCACATCTTTTTTTCTTTTAAGATTAGGTAAATCTTGAAAAAGTTGCTCCTTTTCTTTTCGAAGATCAGCCATGGATCTTTGAAATTGGTCTTTTTCATCCTTGAACCCACACACTGCCCTGGTCAGGACCTCACGCTCCTGTTTTAGTCCAGTCAAAGATTTAAAAATATGGTCTTTTTCCTCTTTAAGTCCCCACACCTCACGAGTTAAATGCTGTTTCTCTTCTGTTTGTGCTCGAATTGACTGAGCCACTTCTTTTTGTTGCAATCTTTGAGTTTTAATTCTCCCCATGAGATCCTCTTGTTCTGTTTTAAGGCTTTGTACCAACTTGGTTAACCTGTCCACCTCTTCATTCATCAAATTCACTTCAGGATTGTCAGATTTACCTGTTGTTTGTGACACTTCACTTACATTTCCTTGCTTGGACAAAAACTGTGGTTCTTTATCACTTTCGATGACACAGTTCACCACAATGTCCACACACTCGTCAATATTGTCTTTCCTAAAAACAGTCTGTGTGTGTTTAGATTGAAATCCAAATAGTTTCTTACGCCTGATCTCTTCTTTCAGCTCTTCATATTCCACCAACTTTTGCTGCAACTCCATAATAATATTCAGATCATCCTCTGTCTTTTTGGTTAGCTCTGTCACCAAGCATGCCTGTTCATTGATTTCCTGTTGTTGCCGGGCACCATCAATCTCTAACCTACAGATCTGCTCCTTTACTTCACTTCTCTCCTTCATAATTTCTTCCTCTCTGAGTTCAATATGGTCTCTTAGCTCTTGTATTCTCTCTGCCAAGGCTCTGTTTTCTTCATTTAAAGATTGGACAAGATCATCTGACCCAATACTGAACCTAGCACTATCATCCAAAGTTGAATTTTCACATAATGCATCTTTTGAAGACTCCTCTCTCAACACGGTTTCTTCTTGCAGTTTGATTTGAGATTTTAAACTTGCATTTTCTAGTAGGGTCATCTTTAGTTGCTCATGTGTCTGCTGTAGGGCCTCCTCAAAGCGATCACGTTGTTCTTTTATAAAATCAAGATCTCCTCCTAAACCCAAGCTGCGATAGGCTTCCCTCAAGGCATCACAGTCCTCCCCAGGGCTCTCCTCCAAGTTCAAGACGCCATTATAGCACCATGCCCCCATTCTCAACTCATCTATTGTCTCTGTGGTGAGCGTGAGCGACTGAAAGCTGGGGTTTGACTTTGAACCAAAGTTTCCAAATACAGTTTGTGGTTCATGTGTGGATGTCAAAGAGGTTTCAGATTTGGCAGCTATGGAAGGATCCACTGGGCTATTGTGGGAGCTCTCTGCTGTAGACTGGTGGCGATCTGGCAGAACTACAGAAAGCTGCTCTTCATCACTGATTTGAACCTAAAAGCAAGAGCAGAACAAATTATAATTCTAAAAAATATTGTGCAAACTTGAAAACCATTGGAAATAATATTGAATGAGCTTCGCTGAATAGCAGTGATTACATTTGAAGCAAACTTTGTACTAAAGGGCTATAATAATTAACAAACTGCAACAGCCAAAAGTGCATAAAATAGAGTGATGGAAATTAATGGATGTGATTATTACATTGGTCTTCTAAAAAGATGCAATAAAGTAAAGAATGGGGGAAAGATCAGTATCAAACCATGCCTCTTTGCATTATTGGAAAAAGGTTGTTTTTCTCACCCTGATCAGTGTGTCACATAAACATGCACATTATAAGTATACACAGTAATGTGCCACACACCTTTTGAATGAATGCTTCCCTGTTGTTTGGCAGGTTGTCAGAATCTATAAGGCTCTGCTGTAGTCTTTGGTTCTCCTCTCTCAGCTCGTCCATCTCCTCCTCTAGTGACACTTTGGACAGATTCAGATGGTCAATTTCTGACTTCATCTCCTCCACTTTACAGCCCAAAAAATGGCTGCTCTCCTGGGCCTCGTGTAGCTGCTCCATCAGTTCTCTGTGTTCGGTCATAGCCTTCTCCTCTCTCTCCAGCAACACCCTGAGGTCCTCCTGTAAGCTCAGTATAAACCCCTGGAGCCTGGCCTGGTCTGAGTCCTTGCTTCTTCTTTCATCTTCTAAACCTTTTGGCCATTGCTTCTTGCGTTCCTCCTTCTTCTCCTCTTCTCCTTCTCCCTCTCCTCTCAGTGAAGGGAGTATGTCTTGTTCCTCCCACTGTGTTATAGAACCAGCTGTGATCCGGACTGGTCCCGTTGTGGCAAGGCCGGTGGCTGCTGTAACTGTCATGTCCAGTAGTTGCTTCTCTAAAGTGTAAATTCGGTTTTGTAGTGCCTCCTCTCGGTCCCGACCCTGTTTGAGTTTGTACTGAAGTTGGCCCTTGAAGCTCTCAAAGTACTGAGATTGACGAATCATTTCATCTTCTTTTGCCTGTAACTGCCTTTCACAACGCTGCAGCCGCTCCCTCCAAACCTTCTCCACCTGCTCCTTCTCCCGACTCTAAAATAAAAGGAAAACATGTAAGGACATAATTTTATTTTTTTCACGTAATTTATTAATCTTCAATATAATGCCAATTAGGGCTGAGCAAAAAAAGTGTCATATTTTTTCCTCATATTGATCTATCATATTTTCACAAAATTTTGTCTAAAAAAAGATACTAAAAATAGATAAGTGACTTCTAATTTCCTGAACATAAACAATAACGATTTTTAATCATGGCTATTTAAAATATGATATACTGACATATTATCTGGCAGGGCTTAACACAGTGACAGACTAGACTTTACTCTAACAACACAAACATCTCAATAAGGCATTTACATTAGGAAGACAGCATAATATGATTTTCAACGCTGGACACGTACTAACACCATTGCCGCAAAAAACAAAGCATATTACATGATATGTTCTGATCTACTGTATGTTATAATGTTGTTTCCTCATCAAAAACATACTTGGAGTTGTGTTTTGTTTCATTCATACATGTTTAACGCACAAACCCTGCATGTTTTTTTTCCTCTCAAATTAAAACACGTTCTACCTTGTGATGTCATGTGTAATACAAGAAGTGCTCCATACACCTTCATTAGAATCATTTGGATTATTTCAGCCCTGGAATTGCCACTGAATTAAAGGTAAAATGTAGCTGCTAATTTGAAAACTACCACTTTGTGACATCATGAAGTGGAACAGAGCATCCACGTATGTTTTTGATGAGGTAACATAATAACATTGCTTAAAGCTCACAGTCAATTTTGCATAATATAGTCTCTTTAATTGTTAATATTTGTTTGGTATTTTAAAAATCCATAAAGGAAGTCAATATAAATAAAACATGCATTGATATAGTTTTACAAGGCATGCAATGTGTACACATCTATATTCCCTACCATGGTCCTGACTTCCTCCCTGAGTGTGTAGAGCTTTTGATCCAGTCTCTGGGAGTGTTGCATCCTGGGTAGCTGAGATGTAGCCACTAGCTAGTGGAGATGATGCAGGACTCTTCTCTCTGACCGCTACAACCGTCTGATCCAAAAAGCGAAAAACAGATCAGGTAAGTTACAAGCGGAGTTCTGTGGATAGGCACACATTAACACAAAACTATAGAATTAAATTAAGTCTCTTATCTGAACACTACTTATGAAAGAAAATAAAGGGACACATGGATGTAAAGTGGCTATCTGTAGCAGAGAGCTCTAGGAAACATGTTCACAGTGACAGGCTCACAGGGGAGTGTGCACCGGCGCGAGGTGTGTGGGTCATTTGATATCACCTGGACCAGAAGTGAGGATATGGTAGCATATGTGTGTGTGTATATGTATGTGTGTATATGTGTGTGTTACTGGATCCTCTGCAGCCACGCACTCACCTGTTTGTCAGAGAAAGGTCCAAGTGAAGTCGGCTCTCAGGTCTGGACTCAAGAGTCTGCACGTCTGAGTTAGCTCCTATCCTCTCCTCCATCAATGAAACAGAAGAACTCCCAGAATGCATCAAGTCTAGCTCGGTCATTTGATCCTGAATTAGCCTTTCCCCGATCGTATGCAGTGGATACTCTCTAAACAGGACAGTATAACATCGTATTAAGAAAATACACAGATGAAAATGGCACAGGCAAAAGTAAACACGACTAAAAAGATAGAAAATGCAATCATCTATTATTAACCACGTCAACAGCTTGGTAGCAATGGCTGGGCACTGGCATCTCTCAGGTTTCCACACCTCCTAATCATCTCTCTTCTTTCTGACCTCCTACAGTACTGTGTTTCACCGATCCTCCCAATCTAATATGTAAGCCAGCATTAAAGGTGCACTATGTTCTCTGCTGGAGGCTTGTCCCCTGGAGACAATATTACTTCATCTGGAATGTTCCACAGTATGGCATTTAAGTTATCCAGCTCCATAGACACAAGGACGTCCTGCAACCAGGCGTTAAAGGCTAGATCTGTAGAGAGGCAAGCCCACTCACAGTAAGAATGCATATTTATTAATGTTTATTATTTAATAAAAAAAAAAAAAAACACCTGAAACTGAGTAAATGCTGGATGTTGTTAGTGTTAGAATATACTGTGAAGAATTCCAGGCAAACATCTCCATGAAGACAAGCAAATAGTGTACCGTCCACCACAAAAAAATACATAGTGCACGTTTAAGTTTGCTGCAAATGGTAAAATGAAACAAAAACATGAATCACCAAAGTAAAAGAACCACCTTTGTCTAACAGAACTGTTCAGCACCATACAAATGTAAATCTTACCATTTAGTTCACACTAGTTTCATGTTTATTTTAGTTTCAGAGTGAGGAGCCTCTTCGCAAGGGTTGGTGGTCTGTGTGGTGGTATCCCTAGAGACACTGCAGGCATTCTGCCAGATTCCTCCGGATCCGGTTGGCTCCACTCTCACTCCATCCTGGCTCTTGTCTTCCACTTTCACTCCCCTCTTCTCTCACTTTAGTGGCAGTGGGCTGTCTTTATGTAAAAACTGTCCACTATTTTTTTTCTGGTCCTGGCATTAGAAGTTTTAGGCTAGCTTTCATTTATCTTGGTATATCTGTTCATGTAAAAATTCTCTATAAAATTGCACATTTATCAAAAAGGCCATTGGGTTTTTGAGTGAGTCAAAAAAGGCATAAAAACTGGTCTTTCATCCTTGTGTTTTGAGAGTGCTTCAAAACCTAAACAAATATAAATATAATGTAAGAATACAATTCAGGTTTTGTCTGTTAATACCTCTACAAAATACAATTGGGTGTACCTCATTTTGGTCCATATAGCATCTTGTTAGGGCCAAAGTATGAATGCTAAAGAGAAAAACAAAAATAGGAACAAAAACTAAAGGAACAAAGGGGTTGAATTAATACGTAAAAGGAGAGAAAAGACAAACAAGTATTAATATAAAAATAGCCAACAGTGACACGTGGTTAGATAGAATTTATACTTTTATGGTCTTGTAGATCAACTACCTTTTCCTCTATTTCTTTTATTTGTCTCTTTTGCAAGTCAATCCTGTCCTCCAATTCTCTAATTCGCTGCAAAGTAAAAAGAAAAACATTTAGATGAGGAAAATGGCAAACAAGTGTATCGACCATAGAAAAGTGCATCAACCACAGAAAAAACACTCAACAATATAGAGAGACTTATGCCCTATACATTTATGTTTCAACTTTTCTCATCATGTCTCTGAGAGAGCTGCCATGGCAACTGCAAAAGAAATTTGTCCAGCTGCAAATGCTGAACATTGTCTTTAGACCTATACTGAATAGCTGTTTTTTTATGTTGTAAAAGCATTTATTTTCTGTTAACTGTAACACGCTTTTCTTTCCCCATGTTGTATTACAAATCCAATCATACCAGGAAAGAGAACTCATCCTACAACAGAGATCAAAGTGCTATGTTAAGGTGGAGAAATGATAAGAATGAGGTTAATGGGAGTAAACTACAGTGAGGGCAGGAGAGTGAAGGACTGAGGGACAGGGGTCATCACAATGAAGACTGACTACAGTTGATTCTGTCACAGTAAAGGCACAGGAGCACACACAGGGATACTGCATCTTTTCCATTGAGGTTTGGTTCAGACCAGGATCATCAATATCCTGGGATTTGGGCCTTACCTGCTGCGCCTGCTGGAGGAGCTCCATGCGCTCCTGTAAGATCTGACTGTCAAACTGCCGGCTCTGCCTGAGGATCTGCCTCCGCAGCTTCTCCACGGCGAGCTGCAGCTCGTCCCTCTGGCGCTCGCTCAGAGACTCGGCCACAGCACGGCCTCCCGGCTCCTCCTGCTGCAGAGCGCTGTACAGAGTGGCCTCCAGCTCCTGGATCCTCTGCACAGGCAGCCACACACATGCAGCACATGCACATGCAGCACACATGCACATAGACCAGAGACAGACACACCACTGAGACCAAGAAATCTGCAGCACTGTCCACTACACACTGAGAGCCGCTTGACTTTTACATACTGCACTGTGGTACAGGACTAATCTACTGTAATGGTAAACAACTGGATCACTTTTGTATTATACCACAGCTAATTTGCTACTCGCATGTATAAATCAAGCACTTGGCACCATAATTTAAAGTAGGACATTACCCAGGAAACAACAAAACTGATCGAATAGTTGAAGTTGTGAAAATGATATGATGTTTTATGCTATAAATCAAAATTACTACATCATTACTACATCACAATCTTTAAAATTGCACCTAAAACAGTTCAAAACCACAACCATGACTTCATCTTCAAGCTCAGTATTTTTTTTTGATTATTTGAATTGTATTCAATGTGAAAAGTACATCTAGTGTAAAAATCCAAACATATTCAATTGAGTTAATCTCACAGGTGTAAAAGATGCAGTATCCCAACAAAATGTAAAGTACCTTTATGAAAATGTTTATGAAGTCCAAGATGTGTCATGCATATGTGTTTCTACTACACTGTCAACATTATATGAAACAATTTGCTCATGGACTACTGTTCTACAAAATCATCAGTTTTCTGCAAGTATAACTCAAATGTTTGTTTTTATTCTTTAAAAAAAAGTTCATACCATATAGGCTTGATCCAGAGCCTGCTTTCTATAGTCCAACTCCTCCTCAAGAAATCCCTTCTGTTTACTGAACAGCTCCTATCACAAAACAGCAGAATCAACAGTAAATCAGTGGGATATTTGAATGGTAAAGCTCAGTGTTTCTTACCTTGTCATTTTCCAAATCAATCATTTTCTGAGTTAGAGCTGCTTCAGTGTTGTCAATTTGCTTTAGCCACTATAAAACACATGCCATTTGGTTACATACAGACAGTGCAGTAGCAGTAACTGACCACTGAGTGTCAGTAAAAACAACACACTTACCTTTTCACAGAGGGAGATGACTGTCCCAGCTTGGATCACAGCAACCTGCTCTTCATTTCTCAGATTCTGTTCATTAGTAGAAAAGAGTGATATTTATAAAAATAATATAACAATACATAAATAATAAAATATAAATGATCACCCCATTATCGCCAAGTATATCAAGCTTCTTCATGAGCTCAGGGATAATTACATCCTGTTGACAATATAAATATGAATAAATATGACTGTACATACTTGGGCAAAGACCTATTTGTACTCACCTTCACCCCCTGCTGGTGGCAGTAGGTCTGCAGGGCACTGTTGCTGTTTTCTGGGAAGGCCGACATGTGAAGATTCAAGGCAGGAGATCGCCGCTCTCTTTCCTGCAATAACAGCAATTCAGTTAATGCAGACAGGAAAACACAGCGTCAGCACTATACTGTGATCTCGTCTGTAAACTACTGCCTTCACATTGATGCAGCCAACATGTTTGACAGGTAATAAAAACTAACAGTACTTGAGAGTTAAAAGGTGCACTGTGTAACTTTTTGGTTGGGGGTCTGTCACCTGCTTGTTTCTATGGATATGTCATTGCTCTGCCAAAAACGTTCCACAGTATGACAATAAACAGCTCTACCTTACATTTATTCAATTACAGGTGGTTTTACAGCTCAAAAATACATAGAAAAACAGGCATTCTGACAGTAAGTGGGGTTGCCTCTCCACAGATCTGACCTGTAACTTTGTCTGGTTTGTCTCCATGAAGGTAGAAAGTGCTGATACTATGCTGTAAAACAAAGCAGTAACATCTCCATGGAGAAAAGCATTTTACGAACCCTCCACCAGAAAAGTTACACAATTCACCTTTAAAGGAAACTATTGGGATGTTACTTACATTAAGACAGAAAACATGACCGGGATCTGCTAAAACAAAGGAGGTGAAAAAAACAAATACAGAAATGGGGTGCAAAAATTCACATGGACAAAATTAAATCTGGAAAAAGGATTGCCACATTGTTCAAATCGAAAACATCAGTGAAGATATGTGCTCAGATATAATAACAATAATCATTTATTCACATTATAAATATTATACCTCAGTAATATACAACACTGATGATTTACACAATACAAATAAAGTAAGAAAACATGCGTGCAAATGGGATACAAAATGAACAAAGATGAAAGTGGGAGCTGTACTTAAATATGGTTTATTCAAGTAAAATACATCAACATTCATGCATTCAAAATGATTCCAGTTCACGGATGGGGCCAACAGCTGCCATGCAAAACTATAAACAACAATCATATGGATACAGTGTAGTTTTCTGTGAGTTCAATGAAACAATCCAGGCAGTCTATGGATCACTGTAAATAGGTCTTGATTCTGGAGCTGAGGTTGTTGTTGTCGCCTCCTGGTGACACTATGATGGTATTACAGTCTCTTACTTCTAATTCAAGCACTCTGAACTCCAGCAGCTCATTTTGGTCCCGAGCGTCCTGGACCTCTGCTTCTAGTCGCTTTTCCGCCTGCTGCAGTGTACAAATCTAAGAAACAGAAACATCAAAATTATATAGACGCTTTAAAATCCTTTAAAAATATCATAATGTTCAAAATGGAATGAAGGCAAAGAGAAGCAGACATAATATATTTTCAGTCATTAACACATCTAAATGCTAATGATTTTACAACATTACACCAAAGCAATTTTGAATCTTCAAGGTGCACACATTAGTCAATTTGCTTCTCTGTTAAGGATGGAAAATGTATGGAAAACCTCAAAATTGTATATGAACACACAAAGTATAATTTATGATGAAATTTGTAGATTAAGTGAAAAACTGTATAAGGCTCTAAAAATCTGGATTTTTCCTTTGTCAAAAATGCTTAGTGTCTATCACAATCTCTTCTTACATAAACAAATAACATAAAACACAATTGTAAATATTTTTAAATCAGGCTCTGATGTCACTTGCATGTATTTGAGAGGATTTCATTTGTCAAATGTCCTTCTTGTTTATTCTGAGGTTAATCCCAGTTTTCCCATTGAAATCACATTATGTTTCATTTGACATTTGCCTTTAGTTATCTCCATTCTGGACTTTAACATTTTTTTGTTTACACATTTACACACAATATCATGATTTTCTTGGAACCAGTTGAGGATTTTGAATTTATCATGATTCTTATACACACTGTATTTTTCTATTGCCTTTTAGAGGTAAATTAAGTAATCTACTTCTTCTGTAAATTCAAGCTTCACTATGATTGGTTAAATCCAGCTGTCACTCGCTCAAATCCCTACATAATTTAACCAATAGGAGAAGCGGCTGAGAAAAATTGTCTGTATTTGAGAAGACAGTGTTATGTACCAAAACAGTGAGACATGATATGATGATATGACCAAAATATTGAAAATATGACCATATTGCAGAGCTTATATGTTTTCATAAGTTGAATTCAACTTAAAATATACTGATTACCTTTTCGTGAAGATCCTGATTGGTCCTAAGCAAGTACTGCTTCTCTTCAACCCATTTTGAATCCTGTCATAGCAACCAAGTCAAGCATTAGAAGAAAAATCACAAAACAATATCGATGTCCTTGTTTTCATCCCAACTTTTCCCACACACTCAACATGCACTTAACTAATGAAAACAAGCTGATGTGATGCAGGTACAAACACAAGACAAGAACAAGAACAAGGTGAGACATTCAGTTTTATTGATTTGGAAGAAAATCAATATTTGGAAGAAAAGAACAGGCCACCACCTGAGACAAGAAACACAACAAACTGGAAACAAATGCTTTTTGTTAAAGGCGTTTGGTGAAGAACATGCTATGTCAACCAAGAAACAGAATATGCGACACATACCATCAGTCTCATGCTTAAATCAATACAAATTATGGTCCGTTCAGACAACGGCGTCAAAAAATGCCCTAGATGTCTCTATTTGGACGCCTTTGCACTGGAGTTTCGAAGCCAGCGACGTGCGTCTTTGACGCCGTGGACGAATGGGAGAAAAATAGTTGACGTGCGTCTGTTGTTCTGGAAACAAGTGTTTGGTCCCGATCTTTTCCCGAAAGGATGGCAGACGAGTCTGAGAGAGTGACTTTAGTGTATTTATTACATAAAACCATCAGTGAAGGAGATATATACTATACTCCCCTAATGACATTGGTTCACCCGTGGTCTAGTCCTGGTCTAGTTCTGGTTTAGTCCTGGTCACTGGATACTCGTCTCTGATTGGTTGACATAAAAAGTTAAGCATTTTCAACTTCTGGCGCTGACACCCTGGATGCGCGTCCAGAGTGTCGACACCAGAACGCTCAAGGCACGGTGCATTGATGCCAGATTCGCGCCATAAAAATGCAGGGCGCCCAAGACGTGCATCCACATAGACTTTGCATATAAACTGGACGCCTTGACGCTCTGGTCTGAACGGGCCTTTAACCTGGTAAAATATACTGCCACTTTAAAGATAATTTACATCACTTGCAAATATGACCTTACATTGATTTGGAAAATATAGCACATCTGAAACAATAGCTTTTGATCTATTTCTGGATGGACACAGTGGCCTCAAATTATTGAAATCAGATCACAAAGGAATACACAGCACCAGCAGACAGATCAGTCTTTGGGACATAGAGCAAGGCACAGATAACAGCCATACATGCAGGAAGTGATATCATACATGCAAGAAGTGACATCACAGAAAGGTGCGGACGTGTTCAGCATAGCGCCAGCCCAAGAGCAGAGCAGCCAGAAAAACATGCAGGATGGCCAGTGAGACCAAGACTCCTCCCCTCAAGCTCCTGTCCCCCTCCCTCGTCAATGTTACCTGCCCCCGCTCCGACAGGGCCTTCTCCAGGTCCACAATCTTCGCCTGACAGCTGCTCAGCTCTGCCTGCATCTGCTCTCGGGCCTGTAGGACACAACATGAATGAATCCCAGTACAAAAGGGGCTCATGTTTCAGGTCATTACTGATTATTTAGGTGTACAAACCCTGGCCTCTCTCTCAGCATCCAGCGTCCCACCAGTCTGTTCCTGCAGGAGGGCATAGGCTCGCTGGAGCGCCTGGTACTCTCTGGTCAGTTGCCGAAATCGAAGCTCTGATTCCTCACGAGAAATATTCTGTAATAAAATAAGAATACATCTCAACATAAATCAATGAGTGTGCATATAAGTTGTTTTTAAGTTGTTTTAAGGTTTAAAAATGTTGCAATTGATGCGTGTTATCAAAGTTTTTAATTTATACAACTGATCTAAAAAGCAATTGGTTAGCCTGAATTATCCTTATGAAGAAAGACTTAAGTCATAATGAACATTTACCAGGTTTACCTGATTCATCTTAATAACTACTTGTTAACCAATTAATATCGTAACCCTAATTCCTAACTCCTAACCTCTAAATTAAGTAGTTACAATAATAACATGTCTAAATATTTAAAAATCTTGAAATAATCTGACTCCAAATGACTTTTACCTCTTCTAAATCTTCCTCTGGAGTGGCAGGTGTGCGGTCTGTCAGGTCGGTATTATATGAAACAAGTGATGAGGTTTCTGAATCAATCGACTCCTCATCAAATCCAAAATATGTCTCCACAACATGCCTCTGTAAGAAAGGTAAAATGAAGATACTGTACATTATAATTTTTCTTTTGTTATGCCTTGTTCATGATGTAAAGTAGGACTGCAACAACTACCAAATGAACTCTTCTAATAACTGTTAAACATTTTCTGGACTAAACAAACAAAAGACGTATTTATTACAAAAAAGGCATTGACAAAACCATATAGCAAATTCAGTTTTAATATTTTTTTTCCTCTGTCTAGAACATATCTTTACCTTTAAAAAATTTATCATTGTTTGAATAGTCAATTTATCAAAAAAATTATCGTTGACAAGTTCACTACTCTTTAGTTTAATCTTTATTTGTCACGGACCACGCACAAATTAATATAACAAAAGAAAATTTAGCTACTGATACTTTCCATTTCCACAAAAAAAACTTAAAACTAAATAAATAAATAATCATTAACTACAGCCCTAATCTAAAGTGCTCAAAACATACTGCCCATCATTAGTTGTTATTTCTTAACATTAACTCTTACCATCATGTTTATAAGTCATCTCCTGACAACCGGAAAAATACAGACAGACTAGAGCACATAAGCAGATGAAGGCAGAAAAATAAAGGATCAAAAGAAAATACTCCGTCATGACGCTACCAAAAATGTCTGTCCACCTCAACAAATAATCCACAAAATGCAAAAAATTTATAGTTCAAAGAACTCCACAATAAACCCTAGAGTCGGTTGAATACCTAAAGAATAAAAGTACTCAATAATCCAAGTCAAACTGCCACAT